TTCACTTGAGTCTCAGTCTACAGGATGAGGATTCCAAGGGCATTGGGAAGGACCCATTAGACTGAAAACACCAAACACCTTAGACCAGAGGGTGCTGTGCTTTTTGAATGACCATGATGTTTTTCCAAATGTTTATTACGACTCAGCCATTCTTTGCAACAACTCAGAAAGAATGACTCAAATGTCACCAGGATCCAACCCACAGCCTCCTCACAGCCCTGCCCCCGCTGGGCTGCACTGGTTATTTTCCCAGTTTGCCACTGTTCACGTCACCCTCTCTTCCCACCTCACTGCCATAACTAAGCCTCCTGGCGCTTTCCACTGGCCACAGGATAAATCCCACAGTACACACCTGGCACCTGCGGCCCTTCACTCAACCCTGGCTTTGTGTTCAGAAGCAGTTCCTGCCTCCTCGGACTCCATGCATGAGGTTCCCCCGTTCAGCTTGTTTGCTTGTCTGTCTGGATCTCAGAACAGTGTGCAGGCCACAGCCTCCGCTGGACAGGCCCTCCCCTATTTTGAAATGTCTGTCTTTGTTAAGCTGCCTCACTCCCTGGTGCTGCGTGCACTGCTTTGGTCAGACACTTGCTGGCACAGTATTGTCAGGGAGGGGTCCCCCAAATGCAGCACAGGATGTGGCAGTCAGGGTGGCCAGCATATGGTGTCACCAGCAAGAGGACACTTGTCATCATGCTACTGTGGTGGTTCCCTCTCCCCACCAGGTGCTTTGTCCCTCTGGTCTTTTGCTGAGAGGGTGGAAAGGAGGAGAGCTGCCAGACAGTAGAGGCCCGTCGGCCGTGAGCACTGCGCTTTCCCAAGTGACCAAGAGCCGGGAAACGGCACTGAGAACTGTTCGTGGACACGATGAGCATTCCGTCGCTGTCCAGCCGGGCGGAAGGACGGGAGTGAAACAAGCCCGTGGTCTGCAGTGGTCCAGAATCCTCCAGGGTTTTGGCCAGGCTATCTACTATTTGTTGAAGACCAAGTAAAAAAATCACACACAGTGCCATGGGCCATGATGGCCACGTCCTGATGCCCCGGGCATAGTCCCCAGGGGGACTCCTGGCACAGGTTCAGAACCCTGGAGGGAAAGCAGCCAGGAGCCGGGATTGTTGGGGGGGCGGGGGAGGGACAGGCCCACAGGGCCCCCAGCTTCCCGAGGCCCCCTTCAGCTGCCAGGGAGAGCTAGGGTGGGCCGGGCTGTGAGGCATGGGCAGGCAGGGAAGCCGGGGCCACACTGAGGTGTCTGCACTTGGCCATGAAGTTGTTACCAGGGAGATGGGCGTTTTAAAAAAACTGAGACACAGCACGGCCTTATTCACCTCTCAGACTGCTGCAGCGAGGGTCCAAAGAGTGAACCGGGAAGGGGCCAGTGTGGGTAGGGCAGTAACACCACTGGCCTACGCAGGAGAGGGCCTGGGTTCGTGTCTCAGGACCTCCCTGAGCATGCTGGATACACACGGGGCGCTTGTGATCCGGGCCAGCTGAGACTGGACTGGGGCCCGCGGACCGGGTCGGGAGTGCCTGCTTCCCTGTGTCCCGCTCTTTGTCTCTCTCTGCTCTTTCTTCTCAAGGAAATAAAAAACTTGTAAAGACTATACTTTAAGACAGAATCAAATTGGAAAGAATAATCAAAGGGGGAAAAAAAAAATCAACGGACTAGGGAGAGGCGGCCTGGACACAGGGACAAGTTAGCAAACAATCGTAAGATTTCAAGAAAGTGATGGCAAACCTCAACTCGAAGGCAGCGTGGGCGAAGAGGAGGCAGGAGAGCTTCTGGGCCAGAGAGCGGAGCGTGGTGATGCGGCGCTTCGCCATGCCGGACCCACTGGGAAGGCTCCGGATTCCTGTACAGCACACCAGGCACACATATTCGCCTGCGATCCAGCGGGCAGACAGGCTGGGGTGCCTCTCTCAGAAGGAGTGAATAGAGAAACTTAAGAAAAGGAGAGCAAGACACCCTGGAAATATAAGGAATATGAGAGGGAAGACTCGAGCAGGTGCTCAGGGAGAGGAAGCGGTGGAGCTGGGCTGGCTCCTAGCTTCCTGGGTGATCGGGTTATCGCGCCCCCAGCTGGAGGGACACAGTAGAGCAGTCTGGAAGGGGGCGCTCAAGTCTTGCCAAACCCTGGTTTAGTTCAGATGCAGGCTGCAGGTAACCAAAAACCTCAGCTGGAACTGGCTGAGACAGCAGGGAAACCTGTGGGCTCAGATCAAGCAGCCCAGGGAGGGGGTGTCGGCTCAGCTCTGCCGCCCGCAGCTCCCGGCTCTGCGCCTTCCGGGATGGCTTCCCCAGCAAGTCTGGTATTAGGGTGATCATTGGTATTAGGGCGATCACGGACACTCCAGAGGAAGAGGAAGTGTTTCTAGAATCTCCCAGCAGCACCCTTCAGGCCAGAGTGTGCATTTCTGACATCCTCAGAGGTCAGCAGCACTGGGAGAATACCAGCCGTTGAGACTAGTCCTGTCCTGCCCCACCAGCTCTGAAGCCTGGGCTCTCTGCACTGCATAGGGTAGGTGGGGACGCCTGGACGCAGTCAGCCTTCCAAGGCAGGGACGCAAGGAGGAATGGACACTGGGCCGCCTGGGGCTGGGCCTTGGGCCACCTCTGCGGACAGTAACTCCTCTGGTCAGAACGTGCTCCCTGCGTGGCGTCAACACTGGGTCTCCACCGTCGCCATTGTCTTCTCACCGACGATACCGTGCATGCTTGTGCGAGCCTTTTCTTTTTCTATCTTTGGTCTCCAATTGTGTCTCCCAACCTCACCCAAACCTCTGCAGTGACAGGGGACCCAGCTCTGCCAGGGTAGCCTGTGGGATCTCATTAGTTCTTTGATGGATTGAAACAAAGAACGTTGCTTCCCATTACTGCCGGGAACCCCTCCTCCAGGGCGGAATTCGCTGGAAGAGCCAGCGTTTAGTAGCCGCATGCCAGGCACCTGGCACATGTGCAACGGGAATCTACGTCCCACCAGACACGAGGGAAAGTGCCTTTATCAGCGGAGGGCCCAGATGTACCCCGGAGGTCTAGAACATGCCCGGCACAGACCACAGATGAGAAGCTCAAGAAATATTTGTTGAGTGACTGTATCGTTTCATTTGTCCTCACAGGGAGATGGCTGTTAGAAGCTATTGTTGTACTCAATTTAGCAATGTAGGGATCAGTTAATGGCTCCTGGTCACACCCTTGGGAAGTGGCAGGGCCAGAATTCAAGCCCAGGCCCTTGACTCCAGAGGTCAAGAGGGTCTCTCAGAGACAGTGTCCCTGCCTTTGTGTCTGATGGGGATGAGGAGGGGAAGGAGGGATGCTGAGGCCCTTGGGAAGGTGAGAAATTTGAGGAAGGGCTGTCCTCTCTGTGAGGAGAAGGGGGGGGGGGACTCCAGAGCGCAGAGCCAGGCTGGGTAAAAGAGCAGAAGGTTCTGGAGGACCTTGGTGTGAGCCGGACCTGCCTAAGGTACACGCTGGATGGTCATGAGGCCTGGTGGCGCGGCCTTTCCTGCACTGCCCTTCACAGTGCTGCCCTAGTGTTCTCGGTGTACAAGGTCAGCTGGGAGCTTGGTGTGGACGTCGCCATTCTTTCGGGGCCCTAAGAAGGAGTTCGAGTCCTGTGTTTCAGGACCTGTGTTTTCCTCCTGCGCTGTGCCATGCATCTGCCGAGACCCGAGCTTTTTTCACCAGCCACTAAGAAGCCAACGTGTGCCCTCTGCTGTGACAACTGTCAGGTCTTTGATTGTAGGCGCTCTGGTCTCAGCTCTTCTCTTGGCTCTGGTTTTTGTCCCTGGCCTGGTCTTGTGTTCATCTTTTCACCCGCTTTCCACTGTGCACCTTCCAAGCTGCCCGACATTGCTTACGGGGTGATGGCAGACACAACAGAAGTTGGTAAAACACAAATAAGGAAAGGTTTCTCTTCGCTCCCTTCTCTCGCTGCAGCTTCTGGTGTCTGGCCTGGCTCTGGGAGCAGGCACGGGGCTGGGGTGTGGCCCAGCTGCAGGGCTCAGCCTCTCACAGCTCGCAGTGAATGGGCAGGAGGCCGGGATGAGCACCGCAGCTATGGGGAAGCTTCCTCAGCACAGGCTGCCTTGGTGCTCCTGGCACTGCAAGGAGGCCCGCCCTGGGCTCCCTGCTAGTCTCCTAGGCGGGCAGCAGGAGTGGCGGGCGGCACAGGGTCAGGTCCAGACTCCTGCTTAGGGTTGTGGAGGAGGTCACCCCAGCAGCGGAGTACCAGGAGTGCAGGGGGAAGGTCAAGGCCGTGGCAGAGCTAAAGCCCATGTCAGAACCTGTGGTTTGAGGTAGATGCCACACTCAGCCTGGAAAATGACCACAGGGCTGGTCCCTAGATGCTAGTTCCAAAATATAGAGTCACAGACCGACCCGTCTTCACAACAGGACAGCCAAACCCAGCAGCCTTCTCAGAGGGACCCTGCTGTGCAGTGTGACTGGCAGGGTGACAGGGAGGGGACACTAGGTCTATGACGCCAGGTGAGACACCTGCTGTCTGTTCCAGTGCAGCAAGAAGGCCTTCCTTATGAGACAAGAGGCCATTCGTCTTAATCAGCAGAAAGGTCCGTTTTTACAAGGGGACTTTGCTCCATTACCAAAAGCCCCGGGAGGCGTGTGAGAGGCTAGGCCATGGATGACTCAGGGCACATCAGCATCTACAGAAATAGAAAGATGGTGTCTGAAACCTGAACACAGAGATAGGCGCATGGGCCCCACCTGGGAGGAGGGATGTCTGTGAGGCCGAAGCCCACAAGGGCTCCAGGTTGTGCAAGGTTACCACATACATTAACGGGCTCGTTTTGAAAACACCGTCTTCATTTTTATTGCTCTGGGGAATGAGGACAACATTTCAACAGCGGGATAAAGTATGTTCACAAGGAACAAAGGCAAGTTTTCAGGGTGAAAGCTACGTGTACAGCTACCATGGAGCAACTTCCAGACAGACTGCTAAACAGGGATACAGCACCTTACTGCTTACCTGAGAAAGTAGAGGAGGTGAGGGTGCGTGTGCATACGCATGTGTTACACTGGAAAAGGGAAGATGATGCAAAATACTGCACACCCGTTTTCTAGAAGGAGTAGGAAAGAATATTTGGGACAAGCATAAAAGCTAGGTTTCTTTAAATGTATCTTACGTCTTTTTATTATTATTATTATTGTTTTACTTAACTTTATTTATTTATTTTAATTTGACCAGAGAGGGACAGAGTGAGACACAGCAAGCTTCTAGGTTCGGGACTCGAATCATGGTCAGCCATGTGGGAGTCCAGTGCTCTTAACCACCACGCCACCTGCCAGGCCCTAAATGTACCTTACATCTTATATTAATTTATTTGGGAGTCATAAATTTTAAAAAAATGGTTTATTTTTCAGAGCAGTTTTAAAAAATTAATTAACTTATTTACATTCACTCACTGTACATCATTATAGCATACAAAATGAGATTTTTCTATCCAGAATACATTGTATATTTGCTCAATCAAGCACATCAACATATGTGTTATTGTCAACAAATCATTTTCCATTTCTTGTTTCTTGTATATTTTCCCTCTTTTCCCATCCTTGATTCCCTATCTCTCACCCTCTGCCATCTCTCACCCTCCTCCCACACTGTCTCTGGTATCTATTGCTGTTTTCTATGCCTTTCCCCCCCACATTTTATTGTTTCACTAAGTATCTTAATTAATCTAAATATTTCCAGTAGCAAGCACAGCTGATATATACATATCCATGAACAGAAGTCTGACCTTTGGCATAAACCTCAGTGAGTAGAATGAACATACTATAAAGTAGCACCTAGCTGGGTGCTAGCTTACAGCAGTCATCAAATAGGTATTTTTAATGCCTTTTTTTAATGAAAAGAAAAACAGTTTTAGTTTTTTTTTCCTGAAACTTTTTTTTTAAACTTAATTTACATTCATTCCCTAAGCATTGTCACGGCCTTCAAAATGTGATTTCCCATCCAGAATATACTGCATAGCGGCTTAATCATGCATGGTATCATCAAAAATTTTCTAGTTTTTTTTTTTTTTTGTGGGGGGAGAGATTTTCACTATTGGGCGCGTGCGCTCGCCAGACAGACAGAGAGAGACATAGAGACAGAAAGCGAGAAATCACCCCCCGGGGTATGGTCACGCCGCAATCCCCTCTCCTCCATTCTCCTCTCGGGATCTTGGGCAGGCACGCACACGCGCCCGGCGTGAGCTTTAAGCCACCGGGTCCGGGACGTGAACCACGGTCGACTACGTGGGAATCCAGTGACATAGCCATTATGCTATCTGCTGGTTCCCTCGTTTTTTGTTTTTTGTTTTTTAACTACTCTTTTTTGTTTTTTTTTACCCCTATTTCTGACCCTCTGTCTTTTCCCACCCTCTTCTCACACTACCTCTGGTGTTTACAGTAGTCTTCCATTCTTTTACCCCACATTGTATTGATCACACAATTTCTTAAATAATCTAACTACTTTCAATAGCAAGTTCAGCTGGTAATTTCGAGAAAGTAGCTTTAACTTAAATAAAAGAAATCCTAAGGAATGTTGCTTAAAACTTAAAGCCAGGGAACAGGTTAGGATTCTGTTCAAATGGTAGGTACATGAACCTATCGACATCTCAAGACAGGACACATAAAACCAGACAACAAAGCCAAGAAAATCAGCAATGTTTTAGTCAAAAGTCATAAAATTGTTAACGTCACAACGAAATTCAGGGAGGACAGAGAGTTCTCACATCCTGCCCTTCCCAGCCCCACCTGCAGAGGTGTGGTGTGTACTCCATGAACCAATGTGGACACGTCACTGTCAGCCAAAGTCCCTAGTTTACATTAGGGTTCACTTTTGGTGTCGGACAGCTATGGGTATTAGCAAATGTATCAGGACGTGTCTCCACCATTATAGGACCACACAAGTAGTTTCATGGCCCGAAAAGTCCCCTGAGATGGTGCTGGTATATTTTTCAGGTATTAATGTGAAATAAAGCGAGTATGTAATTAGTGATTTCCCAACTCTAGCAGTCCTGATGGCTAGAAAGCTGGTGGGAGAAAGATATCAGGGTGGGAATGGGAAGAGTTACGTGCCCCTCTGCGGTCCTGGATGTGAGGTGGAGATATTGTTCTGAGCTCACGGGGTCTGAAGTGTTTCAAGATGTGTGTTTCCTGACTCTCACCAAGAGACCAACCAGGACAATAAGATGCCTAATGTCCAGAGTGTGCTTTGTACATTTCCATCTGAAAAGCCTCAGAAATCCTTGGAGAACAAGCTGAGTCTGGAACATTCCATTATATCCAGTAGTAAGGACATTTTCCATGACCGGGGTGGTTGGAACCACGGGGTCAAGAGCAACCTAGAGTCTCCCACTGGCCAATGTGGGACCTTTTGAACATCAATATGAGTAACTCAACATGACACATCAGGTATGTTTACATCTGTGAGCTCATAAAGGCACTAAAAAGGGAAGTCAGGGCCAGCTCTGTGGCCTGGCAGCTAAAGGAGCCAGATCCCACATGGCTGACCATTTGGCTTGAATCCTGGCCCCAGGGGGAAAATATGCTGGGCACATTGCATACCTTCCCCAAATATTGACAGAGTGGAGAAACAGAGGAGAAGGAAGTGTGATATGACTACACCCTATTGGGGTGCTTTTACCTTCTCCTCTTCTCTGCCTCTCTGTCAAGCACACGTACTTTCTGGAAAAATAAAAAATTTAAAAAAAAAAGGAAGAGAGGAAAGAAGAAGGGAGGAAAGAGAGGAAGGAAAGGAAGGAAGGAAGGAAGGAAGGAAGGGAGGGAGGAAGGAAAGGAAGGAAGGAAGGAAGGAAGGGAGGAAGGAAAGGAAGAATGGAAGGAAGGAAGGAAGAAGGGAGGAAGAAAAGGAAGGAAGGAAGGAAGGAGGAAGGAAAGGAATGAAGAAGGGAGGAAGGACAGGAAGGAAGGAAGGAAGAAGGGAGGAAGGAAAGGAAGAAAGGAAGGAAGGAAGGAAGGAAGGAAGAAAAAGGAAAAACAAATGGGTTTTCCAATATGGAGAATGCAGGGGAACTAAATCATTATTTTGAAAGCTGTAACTTAAAGAAAAAGAGGGAAGTATTCCTTCCAGTATTTCCTATAGGAACTGTCCTGGTGGCTGACCAAATGGTAGAAAAGGGAACGTGTCTTAGAAATACGCCAGCTAGCAAACAGGTAGAACATCACTATTTTGCAAATTGTAATCAGTTAACAACATTGAGCAGTAGGGACAGCCCCACAAGACAGGAGCTGCCTTTGGATGAAAGAATATGCCACCACTTGTCAACAACCTTGCTCCTCAAAAAGAAAACACAAATCTAAACTAAATGAAGCCTCGGAGCCATGACGTAGCTATGGGGACATGAAGGGTACAAGAACACGTGAAGGGACACTGCAGGGACATCATCTGCAAAGACCAGTGGGAAGCTGCACAGGACAAATGGCTGGCTTTTTTTTTTTTTGACCATTAAATTGAGGAAACTGAAGGTGGAGGGGAAACCTATGGATTTAAGAGACTAAAAGGAAACATAAATTGGTTAAAATGTAAGTGCTGAGAAAAAATGACTATAAAGAAAAAAACACAACAAAAAAAGTATTGAGGTAGGAGACCAGGACCCTAAAAATATAGTTAGGGTGTGAATCTAAAATGGAATTACAGTGTTGCAGAAAACCAGATACCAAGGAATGGAAAGCAGCCCTCAGAGAGATTAAGAGAACTGTTTATTACGTTGGTGGGAAAGGAGGAGTTAATACTCTAAATCTCCGGCCCCCACTAGGGATGGACATGGTCTTTTATGGGGAAACTGGGGAAGGGGAAGTCTCAGGGTGGAGAATGGGCTCAGAACCCACCCTACGCAGCATCAAAGGGAGTAGGCAGAGAAGCAGGAAGACTAATCTAGTCAAGGTACTAATCTATTCAAGGTACTAATCCACCCAAGGTTTTCAGGTTACCCTGTAGTTCCAGGGAGGGCAGAAACCTTAGAGAGCTAACAGCCTGAGTTATTCATGAATTCAGGGTCTCTCTATGTCAGGAGTGGGGTTTAAAGACATTAGGAGTGTTAATCACTCTGTTTACTCTAAGGCACAGGAGGAGAAGGCACAGTTCTAGTCATGAGAATTTAACCCTTTATAATGGAGGCGCTCTTCCAAGATGGAGTCTCACCTGCTTCAGCGAAATGGCTATTTTGAGATGGAGGCAGTAATGGCTCAGTGATTGACTCAGGCAACATGACCTATACCTAAAACAAAGGTGGTTTTTTTTTGTTTGTTTGTTTTAAGAAGAAGATAAGATAATGTTTTTTATGGCCTAATGCTTTTAGACAAAGAATCTCTTGCTCTTGGTATTTACTCTATAATTAGGAAAATAACTCGACCCATTCAGCATGCGCCCCTCCCTACCAGGAGTCTCACCTAAACCAAGTTTGGACCAATTCCTTTCTGACCGAAATAAAAATTTCTTGCCAGTTTTTCTCTGGCAACCCATTTTTTGGGACACCTCCCTTCTTGGGAGCTCTGTCTTTCTTTCTCTCTCCTTCAATAAACTCCCCATTTTGTTAATACATTTTTCGCTTTTCGATACTTGCTTTCTGTGTCTGTGACTCTAATTCTTCCTGAGTGTCTCACTGCGAGCGTGGCCTGATCACCAATGTCTCACTGCGAGCGTGGCCTGATCACCCCTACACCCCTGTGTTCCTGCCTCATATTTTGGTGCATTGGCAAGGAAACATCTAGACTCCTCTTATTCACATCAAAATGGTAAATAATATAAACTTTCAATCCTGTTTTTCCTGGAACACTCTTGTCCCTAAAAACTAGCTTTATCAGACAAAATGACTAGACGTTGGACAGTCGTATAAAAACCATTACGGTGACTGCCAGGCTACAAGACTCCCACGTGACGCTGGCTGAAAGACACTGTCAATCCCTCAGCATTATCAAAATGTTGGCTGTTCTGTGACACAGTTTCCATTTCAAAAATCTCAACCCTCATGGAAAAGGTAAATGTTACTGAGACAATTAGTGATGCATGCCAGGGTTACTCTCTGGTGTATCCTAAAGGTCCTAAAAATTTACAGTTATCTCCTATTACTCAGCTGGGTAATGGACAAATTCCTTTCTTTCCTTTTCCTCAACCTTTTTCTCTTATCCACTAAGAACAACAACAAAATACATATCCCAAAACTTGCTGTAATACATTAAAAAAAGTGAAGCTGTCCTCTGCTCTCCCAACTTACAAGGTATTGAGACTAGAGACTCCAACTGTCAATAAAAAAAACTGTCTCTGAGCAGTTGAAGGCGTCTGCCCACTGCCACTCCCTAGAGTGCTAGAAAGCTCTACCATTGAAAGTTCTCCCCTGCTACTCAACTGAGTATCAAAAAGAGTTCCCCTGCTCTCTCACCCGCAAGCCCACAGAGTCTTCCTTCTTTTCCATTCGGGTCTAGTCCAAAATAAACAGAAAACCTTTTCTCTCTGAGTTCCAAGGTCTCTGCTAAACAACCTTCCTTTAAAATAAATAAGACTCCTCCACTTTCAACACAGATATGGTATAAATTAAATTGGGATTGTTAAAAAGATCACACCATATTGCCCTTCCTTGCCAGGCCTGGTTTCCTCTTCATTCCTCTATTAAAAATTAAAAATTGTTTACTGGGCCTTTGGGGACATCTGCTTAACAAATCTTTTCCTTGGTCCCCATACCACAGTGTTCTGTATCACCTATTAAATTCTCAGTAAATTTGGGATACATTCTAAACATGTCCTAAGTTAACAAGTCTAATTTAAAACCCAAATCATACCATAAAAAGAAAGTACAAAAATGAGAAAAAAGGAAATATCAGGCTAATAGTAAATGTAGCCACCAAAACCATAAGACATCTAATTATGAGTCTGTCAAATACGGTCACCAACAGCTCTTGGGTCAAATGAAAAACATTACCTAACATCCTAGAGGCCCTCCTTGTTCCCTCTTGGCTGTAATCTCTCTTAAATAAATGACAGCCTTGGGAACCAGCAGTTAGTGTAATGACTATGTCGCCAGACTCCCACGTAGTCGACCGCGGTTCGTGTCCCGGACCCGGTGGCTTAAAACTCACGCCGGGCGCGTGTGCGTGCATGCCCAAGATCCCGAGAGGAGAATGGAGGAGAAGGGATTGCGGCGTGACCATCCCCCCTGGGGGGTGATTTCTCGCTTTCTGTCTCTATGTCTCTCTCTGTCTGTCTGGCGAGCGCACGCGCCCTACAGTGAAAATCTCTCCAAAAAAAAAAAAATTTTATAACTAAATAAAGATGTCCACAGGCCATACCTTAGCCCACTCTAAATAAAAACTAAATCGAATCGCCATTTAAAAACACTAAAATTTTTCCTTTCCCATTTGATCTTCCCTTAGATATTCAAGATCAGAAAATAAAATCTGGTCCTCAGATCTTGGCCACTGATTCCTTATCTATGTTAACCAGGCCACCTCCCCTCTAAATGCACGGAATAGAGCTCTTGAGGCTGCCATTTAAATTCTTTCCCTGTTCCTCCACCTTGAGACAGGTCTTAATCATGTTCACTCCCAATTTCAATAGCTCAAAAAATATTTTTAAATTAGTAAAAAAAAAATTGCCTTCTTCTTTAAAACATTTTTCTTCTTAACCTTACTAAAGTATTCTCCTAAAATAGATTTAAAATAATTTGCTCGAAACCACCTAACACATTAAATAAACACTCATAAAAGATGTTAAAAACTCTTATATTCAAAACTTTGAGACCCCTCCCTTCTTGGGAGCTCTGTTTTCCCTTCCCTCTTCTTGAATAAACTCCCTGCTTTGTTAATAAATTCCCCGCTTTGCTAATAAACTGCCTGCTTTGCATACCTCCCGTCTGTGTCTGTGACTCTAGTTCTTCCTGAGCGTGGGACAAGAAGCCGTGTCTCACTGCAAGTGTGGCCCGATCACCCTGCACCTCTCCCCTCCCTCCCGTGTTCCTGCGTCAACATGATGTCAAGAGCCCATTGGGAACAATGCGGCCTGGTTGCTGGGTGGGCCCAAGGGCTAAGCGGCGTCTGTGAAGTGTGACGGCGGCACCCTTACCTCCCAGAGCTGCAGGCTGACCTACACAGCGATGATGAGACAATGGCCACCAAGAGCTTCGGTCACACAGGAGGGCACAGGGGAGTGAGCTGGACAAGAGCTGATGCGGCCGGGGATAGTGTTCAACGAGCCACTGTGCTGGTCTGTCTCTCTTATGTGCTTGAAATCCTCTGTCATAAAAAAGTAAGCGAGAGAGAGAGAGAGAGAGAGAGAGAGAGAGGTCAGAGACAAGGTGCATGAAGACCCTAGGCCCTGAAAGAAATACTTTTGCCTTTGTTTTGAATTTTCAGGATCTCTCACTGTGAACCCGCTGCCTGCTTTGAGAGCCAGGCCTGGAGCCTAAAGGCTCATTTATGATAACTTGAATTCCATTCTGTTTTCCTACTCACATGTGACACAATTGAAATCGATCAGATTTATTTTGAAGGTGGCATTTTTTAAAAAAGGTTTTTGCCTTAGGGCAGGTGCGCTTCCTGAAAAAAGACAGAGACAAAAATAAATAAATAAATAAATAAATAAATAAGACAGAGACAGGGACAGTGAGAGGGAGAGTGAGAAACCACTCCTCCAGGGGGGATGGCCACACGGCAATCCCTTCTCCTCCATTCTCCTCCTAGGATCTTGGGCACCTACGCACAGGAGCCTGGTGTGATTTTCAAGCTACCAGGTCCGGGACTCAAACCATAGTTGGCCGTGTGAGAGTCCAGTAACGTAACTGCTATGCCATCTACTGGCCCATTGGAGGTAGCATTTAAAAATAACATGTGAATATCCTGTTGTTGGAATTTCAAAAGGAAATATCTTTTTCAAAAAAATAAAAAAGCATTCGAATAGGTGTAGGAGATTTTTTTTTTTTTTTTTTTGAGCAGGTGTGAAGCCCACTCTGCCTTCAGGTAAATATTCACCAAGGAAATAAGACTATCAGGTGAAAAAGCTATGGTGGCTTGAAACGACAATAGATTTCCCCTAGACCAGGGTCTCCTCTGACTTGCAAACAGAGCCTTGGTGGAGTGGAACTGGCTGGTGTGGTGCCCACGGATGAGCCGCCCAGGCCTCACTCGGCAGGCAGACCAGGATGGCAGGAACTGTTGCCCAATTTTTATTTGAAAGAAAATGAGCTCTGAGTCTGGGAGAGGTTGAAGAGCTGGTAATTCTACACGCTCTCCTACACAGTGTTTACCTGGAGCAAAACCTTCTGAAGTTGAGGCAAGCCAGAATTATGTGGGACTAGAAGCAAAGGAAGAATCCAAAATAGAAAGTTCTGGAAGTCAAATGTAGGTAGCAATAATCAGGATGGGATAGGCAGAGAAGACTATAGATTCTTTTATTCTCATGTTTTCCAGTATTTTGTGCATTTAAAAATGTATTTTTTTCCATGAGCAACAGAGACAGAGAGAGAAAGAATGAACGTACCCCCAAAGTGGCCCTGACGCCACACTCCACCCCCAGCCTTGGCCAGCCCTGGATTGCAGTACATGCGTGCCTGGTGTTCACAGGGACGTAACCCGGAACCTCCCCACGTGGGTCAGCCTCTCAGGGCGTCATGTACTGCTGCACCACTGTCTGGTCCCATTTTATACATTAAAAAAAAAAATCTAGGAGCAACTATTCCTTTTACAATTACAAAAGGTATAAATGTAATCTTTAAAATAATTTTTTCATTTAACTTTATTATTATTTTTTTAAAATTTGACCAGAGGGACAGTGAAAGAGAAAGATGAAAAGTAAGAAAGCAAGTCGCTGGGTCCAGGACTTGAACCTCAGTCAGCCATGTGGGAGTCCAGCATCTTCACCCATCACTCCACCTGCAGGCCCCAAAAGGCAAATTTTATAGAGAGAACGAGAGAAGAAATGACTGCATTTGCCTTGAACATGAGATTGGGACTGGGAGAGACTACGATGATAAATTCATCTGTTCTTAGTTAAACAAGTCGAGAAAGTCTAAAACATCTAGAGATGTAGGAATGTGAGTTTACAACCTCGCTGATTCTGTTCTTCACTTTTGGAATGTGCACACTGAGATAAAGTTGTCATTTTAAATACCGAATAACGTTCTACTTTAAAAGAGTGCAATATCGGGTAGCAGGTGGCATGGTGGTTAAGGCAGCTAGATTCTACATGGCCAACTTTGTAGTTTAAGTCCTGGACCAAGCAGCCTGAAAAACACGCCAAGCATGTGTGCACACATGCCCAAAAATCCAGGAAGGAGAATGGAGGAGAAGAAATTGCAGTGTGGCTGTGCCCTTGTGGCGTCATTTCTCACTTTCCTTCTCTCTTTATCTCTCTCTGGCAAGAGAGAGAGAGAGAGATCTTTTTTATTTTTTCAGGAGAGGTTTGCTATAGGGCGCGTGCGCTCACCAGAAAGACAGAGAGAGACAGAGAGACAGAACGCGAGAAATCACCCCCAGGGTGGATGGTCACGCTGCAATCCCTTCTTCTCCATTCTGCTCTCGGGATCTTGGGCATGCACGCACACACGCGTGGTGTGAGTTTAAGCCACTGGGTCTGGGACTTGAACTGCAGTCAACAACATGGGAGTCCAGAGAAGTAGCCATTACACCATCTGCTGGTCCCTGAAAAAGCATTTAACACACCTACCAAAATCACAGCATGACCTCACCTACCTTAAACGTGCTCAGAACACTTTCGTTAGCTGACTGTTGAGCAAAGGCGAACACAAAGCCTGTTTTACAATAAAATCTTGGATGTCTCACGTAAGTTTTTGAATACTGTTCTGAAAGAGAAAAACAAAGTGGTCGTGTGGGCTCCCGAGGTACAGTTTTAGTGAACGTGTGTTGCTTTCACACCATCAGAAATTGGAACCATTGTAAAAGGGGGGCCACCTGCATAATGCACGAATAAAACCACCTCCTCCGTCCTTTCCTGGACTTCCATTATTTTCTGCTCGCTTGGATGAGTGCGTAATGTCTTTATTACGAGCCCCTACACTCCTTTGGATTAGTGAGCGGGGGTATAATAACAATAATAATAAATGATCTTATTTAAGAGGAAAACCACAGTTAGGGAACAGGCTTCTTTTTCTTCCTATTTACAGGCGTCGAGGCTGCTGTCAGAGACGGTGGTGGAATTCCATGCTTCGTTCCCCTGCACTAGAATCCAGCCACCCAGAGCTTCCCTCACCATGTCAAGCTCTCATTCAAGTGGCTGTCTATGACCATCTGTCGCAGGTGACAGGAAGAGCCACATCTGCTCCTGCCACGCCCCCATCTGGAAAGGTGCACAGCAGTTCACAGGTGGCGTGGAGCCTTGCTGTCCCTCCACTCCTGGGAGTCACATTATGAAGAACCAGTCAGACGAGACCGCCACAGCCTAGGTGATAATCAGGATCCCCAATCTCGGTTTCAGAGCTAGGCTTAATTCCTCCGGCCTCTGTTCTGGCAAGTAGGGTGGCGTTTTCGTCAAACTTTTGTCCCTCGTGGGTCCAAGTCTCCCCACAAGTGCCTGGGGACGTCCTTGGCTTGCAAATGTTGCTCCCCCTCGGAGGGAGACACAGTCCTCCCTCCACATGTCTGTGTCCAAGCTTCCTCTCCTATACAGGCACCGGTCAGACTGGAGGGGCCCACCCTAATCACCACAAGTGAATCGCTTCCATGAGATCCATCTCAGAAGACCGTTGTCCTCGGTACCCACAGCGATAGGCTCCTGCACTGCCTCGGAACCAGACTCCACAAATGCTCAAATTCCTTATGTAAAATGCCTTGGTGTTTGCTTATAATTGACAGCACATTCTTCTGTGTATCTTTTTTTTTTTTTTTTTTTTAAGTATTTGCCATAGGGCATGTTTACATGCTTGAGAAAGAGGGAAAGTGAGAAATCGCTTCTCAGAGGGATGGCCACACCGCAACCCTTTCTCCTCCATTCTCCTCTCAGGATTTTGGGCACGCACACAAACCCAGCATGATTTTCAAGCTATCAGGTCCCGGATTCAAACTACAGTTGGCCATGTGAGAGTCCAACACCTTATCCACTATACCACATGCTGGCCCCTTCTACATGCCTCAAATAATCTCTGAATTACTTATAATACCCAATACAATGTAAATGCTATGTAAATAGTGGTTACACTATCTTGCTTTAAAATTTGTGTTTTTTATTGTGGTATTATTTTTTATTGTAAAATTATATCCATTTATTGATAGGGGTCTATGGTTGGTGACCTGTCTGTGGCTACAGAGGGCCAAGTGTAAGTTACTTTCTGGGGAATTAAGATTTCAACAAATGAATTTTGGAGATACAGTTCAGCCTATAATGTTTGTACTCCAGCTCCTGCTTGGAGAGCAACAGCCTCCACAGAGGCCCACCTTGCTGGGGGTCCCTGGCACTGAGGCTGCCCAAGAAACACCTATCCCTCGGGAGCTAGCAGCTGACCCGGCCCTCAGGTCAGACAAATCTCAGCGAGAATCCAGGCTCCGCCATGGGACTTCCTCACGTGTCTGGAGTTGGTTTCTTCATATGAAACCACCTCCTGCTCGGCAGGACTATGATTGAGGATAAGGAGTGACACTGTCAGGACAATGCTGGATCTGGGAGGGACTCCGAGACATGTTAGAAGGGTGACTCAAGCAAATCGATCCACTTTCATAAGGAGGATGCGCCTGGCTGGTTCCACCTCTGAGGTGATGGGTTGGTCACACCTATTACATTGGGTCATCAGAAGTCATGACATATTTTTTTCTATGTTTTCCTATGCTAAAATGCATCATGACTTTTCCAACGACCCAGCAGAACAAATCTTTGCCCAGGACAGTCTCTGGTCCTTCTCACTGAGTGACACATCAGCGTCTTTGAACATTGCTCGTGCTCAGTTCCATTTCCCATGTCCAAAGATGGCATGTCACCAGCTTCTCATCTCCTCTCAGCCCAGGTTTGGGCACTGATCTGGGGGGCAATGTTGCCCCAACTTCTAAGCAATTCAGTTTCATTTCTTCACCCATGGAACCCTTTACAAAGCACAGGCAGCCCCCAGGAAAATTCCAGATGGCTACCACCATCTGCCCCCAGTCTCAACCAGTGGAAATACTCCAGGCAAGGTCTAATCAACACGGATGTCGAAGGAACTACCGCAATTATTGTCCTTGCTCCTTCCACGAGAAGAGGGCATCCCCCCTCCCAGCCTCGAGCACCCACAGATCATTCCTCTAACATGCGTATCACTCCCTACCTCGAGTGAGGGGATGATGTAGCTTTTCCTCTGACTTGCAGAGGGGAAATGCAGAGTGAAAATAAATTTGCTCAAGTCACGTGGCACAAGGAAGACGTAAGCTTGACTTTCATGCCTGGTCAACGTGCAGTATGACAAGCCCATGCCCTTGCTGCATATCAGGCTGACCTGTGACAAGTTGCCTTGTACATCAAGAACACAGGGGCCAGCCCCATAGCACAGCAGCTAGCCCCTGTGCATAGGGAGCTGGATCAAGCATGGCTGACCACAGTTCAAATCCCTGATGGAGAAATGGAGAAAGGGTTGAATGAAATTCTCTCTCTCTCTCTCGTGTATGCCCTCTGAAATAATTTATCAAAGGAGCACAGTCTGGGCCTATTGGGGTGCGTGACCCTCTGCTTCTTCCCTCACTGCATTTGGCCAAGGGCAGCGAACAGGTAGCTGCCCAGGGAAGGAGGTGACCGCTGTCCATGCTCATAGCTGGAGTCGCTAGACAAGCACTCCCTGGAGCCGCTCCTCCCGCAGAAGGAGGGAGAGAACCCAGGTTGGAGTGGGAGCTGGCGTGCCCTACAGGAGCCTTGCTGAGCACGTGCTGTGGGACACTGGTCCTTGGGCAGGCTGCAGAGAGAAAGGCGTGCCTCGATCATTCGATGTGGGGAAACAGTGCTTAGTGGAGACCTTTCTTGGGACCAAGTCCATAGAAAAGGCTTTGAGCATTACTACAGGGAGACCTGCCTAATGTGGACTCAGTAGACTGAGGAAGCCCTAACCTCCCCTTAAAACATACTGATTATGCTCCCATAGTATCTATTAGCAGCCATAGCCTTTGGAACCATTTATGTTCTGTAGAACATGTGCCGGAAAACACTGGTCAAGGGGATCGGTGAGTAAGCATTCATACTCAATTTTCTCCTCTTTCCTCATTTGGACCAAGTCTTGCTTTTGAGGAGAGTCTTGTTCTAAAGGAGACAAAATAATTGACTTGGCCCACCCCTCCCATTCTTGAGAGCAATCTGGTGATGCTGGTTAAATTGAAAATGAGTGTTTGCTTTGACTCAGTGATTTAATTCTTAAAAATTTATCTGTAGGACATACACATGTGAAAATTGAAAATATAATTCATGCATGTCTTCTCTCTCTAAACCTTCTTTTTCTTCCTTCTTCTTCTTCCCTTCTCCTTCTTCTTTCCTTTCCTCTCCTCCTCCTGTGGTTTGAATGTGTCTTCCACAAAATTCATGTATTGACATTTTATTGTATTATGAAGGTGTGAAGAGGAAGAACACTTAATTAGATTATGGTATTGCCAGGTGGGGCCTTTGAGAGGTAATTAGGAGTAGATGAGGTCATGAGGGTGAGAGGTACCATGACTGAATCCTGGTGGCTTTACAAGATGGACACCAAGACGTGTGGACACAGGCAAGCTCTTTCCATGTGACCTCTGAAGAGAATTCCCACCAACAAGAAGGCCTTCACCAGACATGGCCCCTTGGTCTTGGACCTCCAATGCAGTGAGCTGAATAAGCCTCATTCAATATAAATTACCCAGTCTGAGGCATTCCATTATTAAGCAACAAAGATTGGACTAAACCACCTACGGAAATAGGAGCAAGCACAGAAGAACTAGCACAAATTCACCCTGTGTCTGCCAGAGCTGCCGACCTTCCTGGTAGTGTGGGTTCAGCCCCTGCCCAATCATGTCCTGGTCTGCTTTTTTCTGCCTAAAAAAAGAAGGTATCATTCTATTTCACATGATCCCCTTTGTCCTCCTGAGCTGGACTATTTTCATCAGCCTGTAAATACGCTGTTATTCTGACATTTAAAAACCTAAACCAGCCCTTGACCCTGTAAGCAATGCTTCTAGCTGTCATCCATTTCTCTGCTGTGCTTTGTAACACATGGTACAGGTGCCCACACTCAGCGTCCCTGGTTTCTCTTCTCCCACCTTTTCTGGAACCTACTGCAATCAGCCTCCATGAAGGTTGCAGCCACCTCCACTTTGCCAATACCCAGAGGCCAGTTCTTGGGCCTCATTTTCTTCTCTCTGGACGCACATGGCCACTACTTGAAACACTTAGCTCATGCGGCTTTCAGGACACCACTCTCTCTGTCCTTCTCATTCCTGGCTTCTTCTTCAGTTTTTGTTGATTTCTCCTTGTCTCTGTGACATCTTAATGCTGAAAAGCCTCAGTCTTTGGACCTCCAAAGAGGCCAGGGGAAGTGGCTTTAACCACTCCCATGGCTGTACAGCATGGTGAGTGATGCTTCTGCCAGTCCGGACTCTCCCCTGAATCTGACTTCCATATCCAGCCTCATCCCTGGTAGCATCACTTACACTCACACTGCGCCTATCCGCAGGGGACTCCTGGTGCTATCCTCACCCCTTCTGCAGCTCAGCTGTCCCTCCCATCCAGCCCTCTCTTGACTCCACTCTCTCTGGATACTAATTCACTCTGCCAGTGAGTCTTGTCAGCTCTGTCTCTACCTCTTGTGCCTTCAGCATCCAGCTGCTGCCCCACCCCCATCCTACTCCCACCATCTTTCCAGGCCTCTAGCAGGGCAGTGACAGCCTTTGAGTTGTCCTCCTGCTCTCCCACCTGCTCCCAACAACCTTGAATCCACAGCACACAAATCGATCTTTACAAAACGTAAGTCTGCTCAGATCAATTCTAAGTGCAACGCCTGCCAATTGCTTTCATAAATTGCCAAGTCGTCCTGAGGCCAGGTCATGTTCCCGTAGCCTCTGTGTCCTCCTTCCCCCCGGCTAATCTGTGAACAGGCATACAAACCTGCTTCTTCTGCTGAAATGCCCTCCCTCTTACTCAGGACCCTCTCAAATGCCCTTTGGTCAGAGAGGCCGCCGTTGGCCACTGTCCGCTGAAGTCATCTCTCCTCACTCACTCCCTGCCCTTCTGTGTCTTACACCGGGGCATCGCCTGGCAGGTGAAATGTCCATTTGTTCGTTGCTGCTTCCCTTTAGTAGAGTACAAGCTCCAGAAGGTGGGTCTTTGTTTCATGAGTGGATCCCTAGAGCTTAAAATAATGCCTGGGAAGATAGGCATTTGATCTAAGTGAACGGATGATGCCTTTTCAATTGTTGCTTATAAATTGATTTTTTAAAAAAAATGTATATCTGCACAGTGGAACATCATTGAGCCCATACAGGGGCTCATGTAGATTAAAATTTACTGTTGGGGAGACTTACAAGACACGGGAGATGAAGACAACAGGTTGGAAGACAACATGGCTGATGAGGTCTCCTGAACGTGAAGTTACGCGCGGCTGTCTACTTGGCTACATATATATTAACCCCAGAGAGAAGGTTGTGTTTTTTAAGCAGGGCGTGTGTGTGTCAACTGCTACAGTTTTACCCTACTTTACCCTTTTACATGGTTTGGTATTTGTCCAAGGTGCAGCTATTATCTTTGCAAATAGAAAAAAAATAAGACTGGAAAGTGCTCAAAGGTAAAGCTGGTGGGCAACAGGAACTGTCTGTGCATAATGAGGGGAGTGCATCCAGCTCTGGGGCTGCACTGAGCTCTACCTTCCGGACTTTCTT